CTAGTTTCATTTTCTGGCTTTCTCCTGTCAGGAAAACAAACTTTTAAAAATTGAACCTGCCCTTTCCCCACTATTAAAAGACTGACTACATTTCCTGCTCTCCCTCTGAACCTCTACAACTGTCTGTCTTCAGACTGCATCTGCCCCATTCAACTGTGTGGTTATCTCAGCAGGTCAGACACAGACCCTTACACAGGTTTTCCAAGTCCTGTCTACAGTAAATAATCAGTCTGATTGTCAATTGTTTTGACATCAGGATAGTAAGTAAGCCCCAAAAGTAGTGTTATTTCCTGCCAATGCAAGCAGGTGAATGCACCATGTGGATGGACATATGGAAGGGTGTGGTATCCACAACCAGCACGACAATGTCACTCTGCCTTTCCTTCCACTGCATTGATTGGGACCACAACTTTGATGGAAGCTTCGGGATGGTCCTTTGCTCAGGTGAAGTATTGGGAGAGAATATTTCCCTTTGTATGAAGACAGTCATGGTGCTGGCTTCTCTCTCTTGGTGACATAGCAAGGCAACCTGGTGCCAGATGGTCACTGGGTGCTCCAGCATAACCCCCATGGCACAAACACTTTCCAGATCCCAAAATGTTTCATTGGCACTCAGACCACCTGTGCATCAAGTGGCATAGCTCAGCCACTTCCAGGTAAGGCTGCCTAACAGCACAAGTCATATGAAAGTAGGCCGAAAATCTGGAGTAGCTCAGTCAGGTGACAAAACCCACCTTATAGCTGCTGACGGACTGCTGGTCCCATGTCTCACAAACGTTCAGGAATGCATGATAATTGACCAGTGACAGTGACCCTCAATTGCCCAGACCAGTCGGAACTCATGACAGGCTCTACATGAGCTGGTCAGCCTAACATCTTGGCACTGTTTGGGCTGTTAGGAATTCCCAAGACAGCTGGGTAGAGATGTACAGGTTGAGAGCAGACTGTGGCTGGGACTCCTTGGTCATCGATGCTGAATGGGACATACTGGCTAGCTCAGTCATGACAGAGTCTCCCCTGTGGCCCTTTAGATACTTTCAACTGCCTAGACAGTCTTGGGAATGTGAGCCATCTTATGGACAGCTGGGAATTTACATTTCAGTTGTCAACTGTAAAGTGCCACTTGTTAGGAGGGGGCTTTAATGCCTGTCAAGTAGGCAGACTGAAAGGAGAAACGGCATGTTTAATGACCCCTCCTCTTCAGTAAATATTGATTATGGGCTGCAATTACTCAGTCCTCTATTGCACACAATATTGATGTATATATACTGTCTTATTTGGGTGTGTGTGTGTGGGGTGCAATTTGCAGTCCTACAGACTCCTGATATTAGCTCCCCCTGAGGAAGTCCAGGCACTGGGTTTGTTCCCATTGGCCTTGATGGCATGTGAGGGCATCCACACCATTAACAAGACAATGCAGGGTCAAAGGGGCCACCATTGCTAAAAGAGATTCAGTAAGTATTCTTCCAGTAGTGACATCAAAGGGATGTTGAGACCCTTCTACTATACCTCCCTTTACCTCATAAGCTAAAGGGCACCACACTTATATTTGGAGGGGTTCCTGGGAAGCAATATACCTTGGCTTCAGGGTCAATAAGAGAAATAAAGTGTTGTCTATGTCTGTGTCCTACAGGGTAATTACAGAATATACAGGCAGTGTTCCCAGGAGTAAGGACATACTCCACAAACCTCCGGGTCCCTAGGCAGGGGCCTTGGCATCTCCCCACCTACTGGGATCCCAGCTCCCCCGTACCAGGGCTGTCATGTCCAGAGAAGTGATGGCATCCACCCAAAGGGTAGGAACAGCATTCTCTTGAAGATCCAAAATAGTCTGATCAAAGTTTCTGACTTGTGTTTGGGCTGTCATGAGATTACATTAGGGACCCCGATTCTCAGAGCTGCCCATAAAGAGAAGTGTGGGCATCATCTCCAGAGCAAGAGAGCTGGGTTGAAGTGCCACCCCTTGAATGTGGCAAAAAGAGGCCCCCAAGCTCCATATGCCGCTGGGACACTCCTGTGGCCTATCTTTGGAGGTGGTGAGCCATCAGCCTTTGCAGCAGAGAAGTCTTGGGCTTCTTGAAAATTCTCCTTTTCACATTTGACTATGGCATACATGCTAATTCCTGCTACACTAAAGCTGGTATTTCCATGAATTGTATTGGCACAAGGCTTAATCAGAGTGGTCTTTCAAGAATAACTCCTTAGGGGCGCCTGGGTGGCGCAGTCGGTTAAGCGTCCGACTTCAGCCAGGTCACGATCTTGCGGTCCGTGAGTTCGAGCCCCGCGTCGGGCTCTGGGCTGATGGCTCAGAGCCTGGAGCCTGTTTCCGATTCTGTGTCTCCCTCTCTCTCTGCCCCTCGCCCATTCATTCTCTGTCTCTCTCTGTCCCAAAAATAAACAAACATTGAAAAAAATTAAAAAAAAAAAAGAATAACTCCTTAGATTCTGTTGTCAAGTGCCTCTCCTCCAGGTTGGAAATGGACAAGGGCTCATGGGTGCATGACATAAGGCAAAAAAAAAAAACAAAACAAAACAAAAAAAAAAAAACCACAACCACTGAATTGTCCCCATTGTATCTTAGAGTTGGATTGCGTCACCTGAGCTTGACCTCTCCCAGTGGGCCTGTGCTGTCATGCCACAAAAATCCATGTACTGGGAATCAGAACTTCTTTCTTCCTACCTCTGTGGGCTTTGGGGCCCTGGGAAGCCTCTTCCTCAGAGCCTTCCCCTTTTATTTGGTCTGTGTCTCCTGACCTGTGCCCTGGTGTGATTGTCATAAGCACTTGATACAGTGAAAAGACTGAAAGCTCCACATGTTGTCTGCAAGTAAACAGGCTGTTGATACATTGAGCTTTTCAGTGATTTATGAATCTGGGGGACTTGGACCAATCCAGACAGCTGCAGCATATCAAGTGCTTAAAACAACAGCTTGGAGCTAATTATGAAGACCCACAAGAACCAATCAATGTCCTTGTCTCCCTCCCTTTGGACAAATGATTCCAGGAAGCCTTGCATTTCCATGATTATATAGTGCCTGTCAACATTTCTGTCTCTCACGCTGGTCCTTGGACATGTTGGTGTAGTGGATCATGACAGGGAAAATTTGGGATAGAAATTAGCTCTTCCCAGACTCGTGTTCTGTGGCCTCCCACACTGAGGTGTCCCACTCAACACCTGACAGGTGGGAAGCCATTGGTCACAGCAGCGAGGATTTCAGCAACTAGGGGGAGCTTGTCTTGGCCAAGACCTCCACCCTGGATGCCATGATGCTTCTTGTAGATTTGCCTCCATCACTAGCTAGGGCTGGCTAATCAGACACAACACCATTGTGCTGGCCACAACACAGTGGACACAGTAGCGGGTGTCTTCTTTGACACTAATCTAGGAACACTGTCCTCGGTGTCCACCTCCTTTGGAGGTGAATAGGAAATACACACCTCTGGAACCCCAGACTGGTGCCTGCTTGTTGGTCTCTGCAGGGAGTCTGACCTTTTATGGCTCTGATAACTTATGATGGGAGTTTCTGGCAAAACCTGGCATCAGCCCAAAGACAGCTACAGACCACCAGCAAACACTAGCTCCTTCCCAGAACAGCTGAGATGTGGGTGTGAGGAATGAGTGAGCCATTCTCAGTACTAACGCATTGTTGGAAGTCACCACCTAGGTCCCCAATCCCATATTTGGGGACAAATGTGTTGGGGACCCCAGCTGTTGTACAGAATTAAGAACATGTAGACTGTGTCCTGCTGAAGGAAGAGGCAAGAGCCATTGCTCAGGGGGTGGACAGGTGGCTCCCTAGGCATCTGAGCTCTTGCTTTGGGTACATGAGATGCACGGGGCCCTGCTGAATCAAGGTGGAGTTTCAGTGCACCCCCAATAAAGGAAATGGAGGCACAGGATTTATGACTTATAGAGCCCAGAACAAGGGGGCATAAGGACCAAGGGAAGGACAGGTCTCCATCCCACATTCCCAGTGATAAGGACATAGAAAACAGAGTAGCAAGTACCTGACTACTTGAGAGTAGATGGGGCTGAAGTCTCTAGTTTTCACAGGCTCACCTCTGTGTGGTTATTCGAGAAGGCACTCGGAAAACCAAAGTTGGAATCCTAGGCAGATCCTTATCTAAGGTTAAACTCATTGAAAAGTAGGCAAGAGAAAGAGAGCAGGGATTCACATTCACCAGGCTCCCTCTGGATGCCAGAGTCATCCATAAGTACTTGTGCCTACCTTTCTGATTCATTTCACTTGGTGTTCCTTTAAACCTCATGGTCTCAGTCTCCCACATTTGGAAATTTGTTCTCCAGGGAGGCACAGCTTGTGCTAGGTGGAACCTAATGCCAGTCCCCATTCCCTCACAGCCCACATACATCCCAGTGTGGGACAGGCAGTGTGGGTGGGTGATAGCCCACCAATACCCTGAACACACGTTGGGACTGGGGGAAGACAGATTACCTGGAGAATGAGAAAATGTTAAGTGTGCAAGAGCACAGTTTTGGAGAAAACTCATGAATTTGTCCCTAAAAGAGCTTGTGTCAACTTCTCTTAATTCTGGAAGCGTATACCTCAGTTCAAGACACAGATGCTGACTCAGGTCCTCTGAAAATAATCTCAGGCTATGTTTGGGCTCTTGGAAGCTTTGACATATACATAGAGTGCACAACCATGCAGTTTTTAAGTTTCATTTCAGAGTTTTCATCAGTGACCCATGAGAAACCTGTGTCAGATCTGTGATGTTCCTGTGGATCCCTGTGTCTCTCACAGACCCTGGAAACATGGATGTCAGCTGTGCTGCCTCATTACTGTATTTTCACACAGGCACCAGGTGATTTGACTATAGTTGTTCAGGGGTCTGGAGGCTGAATTATGGGTTGTCTTCACCAACAATCGCTCTCTTAACTTTCTTGGTGTTGACAATTCTGACATTTGTGGCAACACCACAAGGAATGCAGCTATTATGGTTTAAACGGGACCAAAAGCCACTCTGAGATATACCAGGGATTCAGGACTTTGCCTGACTGGCCGCATTCTTCTTGGAGGCGTCCACTCTCTTTGCTCCCACCAGTGCCTCGTCCAGTGCACCATGGAGGATCCCAACCTATGTGGCAGTGGCAGTTCCTGTTATGGTTGCACATCCTTCTGTGACTGTGAATGTGACTGTTACATTTCTCCGGGATACAGTCATAATTCAGCTGAGCCCCACTGCCATTGGAGTAGGTAT